TAAATTCATGTTTTCAATGATAGATCGCAATTCAAGTGAAAATTTAAAAATGGGGACCATTTCTTTGTCCTGCTGAACCTAACTCTTTTTCATTTTTATTTCATTATATTTTAATGCACTTTACCACTTCAATAAATATGGATCTACAAAAGTGTTTTTGTGTGCCACTAATTTAACTCTATTTCCAAATTTTAATTTAGAATCATACAAATCAATGATTTAATTTGCTATTTTTTATATTTATTTATAATTGTTATATTATAACAATTTAATTATCCTAATAAGTTAATAAACATTTACTAATTTATTCGGAATGTTCTACTTTGGGATGGTAACCGTAGTCATCGGCGGTGTAGGTCACTTTAACGTGTTTGCCATCCTTGGTGACGAATTCGTATTCACCCTTGACTATCCAGGTTTTTTCATCCTCCAAATGACCTTCTTGGAAAGCACGAATTTTGTTGGTCAATTCGTAGCCATATTTGAAATCTTCCTTGTTAACTTCACGGAATTCCTTAACGACATCGGCTTCTTCGTTGGCAAAGGCAACGGCGAAAAGGCAGGCAAAGAGAACAATCTGGAAAAAATTATTGTTTTTATTAACAAATTAGAATTTAAAGAGAAATTTCGATTTTGAAATACTTACGGTGAATTTCATTTTGAATATGCTTTTAGTTTGATTATGTTTCCAGAACTTAACTGTCTTTCCTGTGAAAGCATCCGCTATTTATATGGAGAAATTTGTATATAGTTGTTCTAGTTATTAATATGAAAAACTAGTTAGGCATTAATAAATGTGATTTAGTATGTTAATGGGTTAGTGCAAATTCATTTGTGCAATAAAATTAAGAAGTGTTGAATCAAGTTTTGCTAAAAATTAATATTATTATTTAAAATTAAAGCCAATAGTTGCTAGTAAAAACTGCTAGCATGAACATTTTGGGATGCTCATATTGGATTAATAGCAGTAAGCGACGGACTCAAATACAAAATCTTATGAAACATATACATGCGACCTATAGCTATATCCGAACCAATTTTCAACTAATTTGGCGCAATTTCTTCCTGCCCTAATTCGATTGTACGGGCCCAAAATCAATTCAATTCGAACATATATAAACAATTTGTGCACAATAAAGATATATATGGGACCTTTTGTCAAATCTGAAGAGAACAGAACAATTTGGCAAATGTATTTCTGAGCTGCTTCTGATACTGTTTCACGAATATTGTTTTATGGAGTACGTATTACGGCTATGGGGGACAAAAATACAAATTTGATGAACAATATCCATGAGAGCTACACCACACTGTAGTCGCACTATTACGTCTTTAAACATTTGTTTGTAACATGGATATATGTGTTCCATCAGGTTTTGTATTTATTTAGTTGGTAGAATGTAAAGTTTGCGATGGAAAAACTGCAACCAATCTCAGACTGCTGTAATTTTTAAACCACTCGTCCGACAGCTGTTAAAGTTATTCCAGTGACAGCTCATTATATTGTTTCGAGCGTACAGAAGTATTTTGTTTAAAATTTTCCAAAAAAAAAGTTATTCGTGATGGAATTCAAGCGTGATAGTGTGATTTCTTCATATTTGGCTGGAAAACCACAAGTGGCTGTCGTTAGAGCACTCCAGCATTTAAATGTGAATAAATCCTTTGTGTCTCGTACCATCGTTCGTAAGGCAGCCCGACGTCAAGGAAGTGGACGGAAGAAAACAGCAACATCAGCAGAAATGGTTCGAAAAGTAAAGAAGATCGAAACCCGCGTCGGGCTCGGGGTGAAGCCATTGAAATTCCAAAAAGTGCAAGAACTTACACCGCAACAGGAAGAAAATAGACTCAAATGAGCTAAAGAGTTGCTTCGCTTGGCCCAAAGTGGTGAACTGCCGAATTTAGGTTTCTCCGATGAGAAAACATTCGTTGTGAAGCAGTTTGTAAACAAACAAAATAATCGTGTTTACTTGCCAAAGAGGTCAGCTGTCGGTTGGCCACTAGATATCAAGTGCCAGCCATGGTGATGGTGTAGGGAGCAATAACAGTCGATGGTTGCTCTCCGCTCTTAATCGACCGTGGCACCAATGGCCTCCAAGGTTGGCACTAAAAAAAATACCAAAAAATACCTCAATCAAGCGCTTCGCCGGGAATGGACCAAAATACCGTAGAGCAACATTCGGGCAGCATGTGTTTGAAGGCCACAATTCGTGCCAAAGTTGTCCAATTCGAACAAATCTGAACTTATTCTAAAATTTGATACTATCTTCGACATTTTTTGCTTTCATTTAATGAAATTAAAAAAAATGTAAAAACTAGGGTGTTTGACTTTGTTGAAGTTTTATATCTCACCCTTATATATTTATAAAAGAGGAAAATGTTTGTTTGTTTGTAATGTTTGTAATGTAAAAGTATACTACAACAGCGCTTGAGAGTAACATAGGCTGTATAAATTTTTGAAATTCCAGTTGGAACTGTAGATATAACATCAGAATCGGAAGAACCTCCCAAAAATTTAAATTTTATAAGCACATATATATTGATTGATTACAGATACAGCCCTTAAATTTGGAATGCGTAACGGAATTTGGACCAAAATAAATTCGCTAAATTATATTGAAATCGGTTCAGATTTGGATATGGCTCCAACATATATTTTCGCCGATTTCATATATTTGATGCATTAAACAGGCTTTGTACGCCACATTTCAATGAAATTTGGAATGTGTAATGGAATATGTCTAAAAAATTTTTTTCCAAATTATATTGGTTCAGATTTGGATATAGTTCCCATATACATATTCCGCCGATTTCAAATATTTGATGCACCAAACATGATACGTATGTCCGATTCCAATGAAATTCAGCATGAGTGACTAAATTTGGTACAAAAATAAATTTGTCAAATTACATTCAAATCAGTTCAGATTTGGATATAGCTCCCATACATATTTTCGACCGATTTCGTTTATTTGATCCACCCAATGCGATATGTATGTCCGATTCCAATGAAATTCGGACGAAATTTGGTACCAAAAAAAAAAAAAAAAACAACAAATAACTTTTTATACCCTCCACCATTTGGTACAAACTTGGCAATTTGCAGAAAAAAAATCCTGCTAAAATCTTAAAAATACCGAATGTAGCCGTATATTAGGATCTATACGACGACGTTGTCCAGCATAGGCAACTTTCGTCATAAGCTATTACAATATTCAAATTCGAAATTGAAATTCGTGGACCTGCACAGATAATTTTCTGGCATAGGCTGTAGTATCCATTACGAACTTCAAATACAAAGTGTGAAATAATTCCGGTACATAATGTCACTAAAATCATTAAAATACCGAATATCGGGAGTACCGTTATATGGGGTACTTCCGAATATCGGGAGTACCGTTATACGAAGACTTCGACCTGCACAGACAATTTTCTGGCATAGGATGTAGTATCAATTACGAACTTCAAATGCGGAATTTGAAAAAATTCGGGTAAATAATGTCGCTAAAATCATCAAAAAACCAAGTATCGGGGGCTACCGTTATATGGGGGCTATACGAAGACGTGAACCTGCACAGACAATTTTCTGGCATAGGCTGTAGTATCAATAACGAACTTCAAGTACCAAATTTAAAATAGTCCAAATATCGAATATCGGAGGTACCGTTATATGGAGGCTATACGAAGACGTGGACCTGAATAGACAATTTTCTGTCACAGGGTGGAGTATTCATTACGAACTTAAAATACCCAATTTGAAATAGTTCCGGTAAAAAATGTCTCTAAAATCTTCAAAATACCAAATATCGGGAGGAACCGTTATATGGGGGCTATACCAAGACGTGAACCTACATGGCCCATTTTCTGTCTTATGCTGTAGTATCTATTACAAACTTCAAATACCGAATTGGAAACAATTCCGGTAAATAATGTCGCTTAAATCACCAAAATACTGCATATCGGGAGGTACCCATATATGGGGACTATACGAAGACGTGGACCTACATGGTCCATTTTCAATACCAAAAGTCCTGCAGACATAATACACATTTGAGTAATTTTTTATCAACTTACTTCATTCGGAATCTAGAGGGATTTCCACAGACGGACAGACTGATGGTCAAACGGACATTGCTAAAGCGACATTGAATTTTATGCTGATCAAGAATATATACACTTTGCGGGGTCTAAAATGTATATTTCGAGGTGTTACAAACGGAATGACAAACTTAATATACCCTCCATATTATGGTATACATATCAAACACGATATGTATGGCCGATTCCAATGAAATTCAGAATGTGTGGTGGCATTTGGTTACAATAACAAATTTGAAAAATTAATAAGAAATCAGTTAAGATTTGGATATAGCTACTTTATATCTATTCTCGGCAGATTTCTCACATTTGATGCACTCAACACGGTATGTACCTTCAATGTCAATAATATATGGAAGGATTGACGGAATTTGGTGTAAAAGTAAATTGTGTCAAATTATATTTAAATTGGTTCAGATTAACAATAAAAAACTACACAGCAATTTAATTTAGATACGCTTATTATGGGGAAGTATGTTGTTACCTCGAATTCAATAAAGGCAAAAGAAATACCACTCAACTTCAGAAGATTGCAGTTTCTTGCATGCTTGGCATTTGCTATGAAATTAATAAATCCGAAAGAAAACTAAATTTGGCATGTTCCTGCTTCTGTCGAGCTTTTTGTTTGTTTACGCATTAAAGTATTACAATAAATACATTTTTTAAATTTTTGAATTTGTTTTTTTTTTAACAAATATTCGCATATCAAATTTGAATGCATATAAAATCAAGCGCTAGTCATATCTATAGAGATAATGTTATGACTTCTGGAAGCCTTGTGTGTACTAAAAGTTAATTTTATTTTTTTAAAATTTTCCACTCCTTTCTTTGACATTTTTTCAATCATTAACCCTGTGATTTTAAAAAATATATAACGACGAAATTATTTCTTAATATTTAAACACAATAAATTGTGTAATGTTTATTTCTTATTGTTATATTATAACAATTTAACGGCAAATAAATTAATAAATAAATATTAGTTTACTAATTTATTCGGAATGTTCTACTTTGGGATGGTAACCGTAGTCATCGGCGGTGTAGGTAACTTTGACATGTTTGCCATCCTTGGTGACGAATTCATATTCACCCTTGACAATCCAGGTTTTTTCATCCTCCAAATGACCTTCTTGGAAAGCACGGATTTTGTTTGTCAATTCATAGCCATATTTGAAGTCTTCCTTGTTGACTTCACGGAATTCCTTAACGACATCGGCTTCTTCGTTGGCGAAGGCAACGGCGAACAGGCAGGCAAGGAGAACAAACTGCAAATAAAGATTTTTTATAAGATATGTTTTTGAAAAATCGTTTCCTTCACTACACTTACGGTGAATTTCATTTTGTTATAAATGTTTAGTTTTTGTGGATTTCTTCAACTGAACTGTTTTTTGGTAACAATGCAATCCGTATTTATACGAAGACATTATTTTGTAGTTCTAGTTTTTGAAAACACAAACTGGAATTCGTTCAGTACAAATATAATTTGATTTAGTATGGCAATTCTGTGTTAATGGGTTAGTGGGAATGGGACATAAAAAGTAGTTTGGAAGATTCGCTTCATGTTTTATATAACACTGATTATATTGTTGTTGTAGAGAGAGAGGAAGAGAGAGTTGTGTAATCAAAGATACAGGAATAATGATTTCATAGCGATATCTACCATGATGTCATATGTTCCAGACAACTCAGTAGCATTTATGATCGCGTTCGCAAAAATAAAACTATTTCAAGAGTTAAATAATTTCCAATCAAATATCAATACTACGGGAAGAATGTTGTGACTTTGAGAATACTTCAAAATAAATCCGGATAAAACAACTTAATTGGACAAATATAGGAATCTGAACCAATCTCGACAAAAATCGGCAAAGAAATCTTACATCTTGTAACGAAAATTCTTGTTATTAAGTGTATAACACGGATTTGAAGAACTTAGATATAAAATAGGATGAAACATAAAAATGGGAGCTATAGCTAAATCTCATACTATTTGGGCTAAAGTTACACATTTTGCGAATGAAGATATACATGGGAGATAGAACTACATAAGAACCCATGTCGTTAAAATTTTACAAGAGTATTTCTTTATATTTGGCTGGAAAACCAAAGGGCTATGGTTAGGGCACTATAGCATTTAAATGCGATAAAGCAAAATATATACAATATCACATATCAAAGAAGGGGATGTAAGTTAGACAGCTTATAACTCAAGGACGGCTGGACGGATTCTGGGAACTCTCACCAATTCAAAATAGCCTTTTGGCAGAAAAGAAGAAAACATCATTTAAAGATGCTAATAACAGTAACAGTGTATATTTTTATACCCCCCACCAAAAAAGTATGGAGGGTATATTAAGTTCGTCATTCCGTTTGTAACTCATCGAAATAATCATTTTAAACCCAACAAAGTATATATATTCTTGATCAGCGTAAAATTCTAAGACGATTTAGCCCTGTCCGTATGTCTGTCCGTCTGTTGTAATCACGCTACAGTCTAAACGAATTAAGATAGGAAGCTAAAATTTTGCACAGATCTCTCTTTTGTCTGCAGGCAGGTCAAGTTCGAAGATGGGCTATATCGGTCCACGATATCGTATAGCCCCCATATAACAGTACCCCCGATACTCGGTATTTTGATGATGTTAGCCACATTTTTCAATGGAATTGTCTGAAAATCCACACAAGTAGTTCCTTGTGGGTACTTTATACCTCGGCAGAGAATTATCTATATAGGTCCACAATATCGTATGGCCTCTATATAACGGTATTCGGCATTTTGATGATTTTAGCCACATTTTTCAATGGAATTGTCGGAAATTCCACAAAAGGAGTCCTTTGTGAGCATTTTGCCCCCTTAAAAAAAATTGTTTATATAGGTCCACGATATCGTATATCCCCCATATAACTGTGCCCCCCGATATTCGGTATTTTGATGATGTTAGCCACATTTTTTAATGGAATTGTCTTAAAATCGACACAAGGAGTTCCTTGTGAGTACCTTATACGCAGACATAGATTTGTCTTTATAGGTCCACAATATCGTATATCCCCCCATATATCGGCACCTTCCTTTATTAGATATTTTAAAGATTTTAAAAGATTTTTTAATGGATTTTATTTTTTTGAAAATTTTCCAATTCGTTCCAAATGGTGGAGGGTATTCAAAGTTCGGCCCGGCCGAACTTACTGCCTTTTTACTTGTTTATGTAATATTTTGTGATATTTTTTATCGCACGAGACTTTTTCATTTTGACTTACCATTCTGAATTGTACATTTTGTAATACTTTTTCCACCTTGTGTTAGAGGTATCCTATTCAAGTTGCAATTATATCCGATCTACATGAAATTTTGCATGGGTGTAGGATAGGGTTAGGATCATTGAATGAAAAGAAAAAAATGTCGGAAATAGCATCAAATATTAGAACAAGTTTAGATTTGATCGAATTGGTCACCTTTGGCACGAATTATAGCCTTCAAACGACCAATGAAACCTTTACACGCTGCAACAATGTTGCTCTGCGGTATTTTGGTCCATTCCCGGCAAAGCGTTTGTTTGAGGTGATCGACACTATGGTATTTTTTAATGCCAAACTTGCTTTCCAAAATACTCCAGACACAGTAGTCCAACGGATAGGTATCCAGAAATTTTGGTGGCCATTGTGCGCTGGAAATGAAGCGAAGAACCTCATTTTGTAACTATTCTTGGCTGGCGCGTGCTGAGTCCTGTTGGAAAGTCTAAGGTCTGCGGTAAAAATGTTTGCGTTTTCGAACCTTTTTTTTACTTTTCGAGCCATTTCTGCTGATGTTGCTGTTGTCTTCCTTCTACTTCCTTGACGTCGGTCTACGATACCAGTATCACGGTAGCGATGGTACGAGACACAAAAGAGTTATTCACATTTAAATGCTGGAGTGCTCTAACGATAGCCACTTGTGGTATTCCAGCCAAATATAAAGAAATCACACTATCACGCTTGAATTCCATCACGATTTTTTTTATTTTTGTTTTCTGGAAAATTCTCACTAAAATGCTTTAAATATATAAAATGCTTTAAATATAAACAATATAATGAGCTTTCACTGGGATAATTTTAATAGATGTCGGGCGAGTGGCTTTGAAATGACAGCAGTCTGAAGTTGGTTGCAGTTTTTTCATCTCACCCTGTATGAATGGCAAAATTATGAAACAGAAATTATTAATCGAATGCAATAAGAAAATAGATACGATATGTTTATGGGCATTTATTTAAATTTTTCAATAGTTTGTTAGAGTTTAAACATATTTTAGATAACAAGTTTTGCGCTTCCCATTATGATTTTGCAGCAAACTGATTGTGGCTTTTTAAAAAATGCATAATGCAAATACATAAACTGTCTACAAACACTGAGTGGGCGGGCGAACATAAATTTGAAATATATTTAAATCGCATTCAAAATATGAGTCATAATTTCTATATTTTATTGAAACATAGTGCAGACAACAAAAACAAGTAATTTATTATGTATACATACATTAAATGTATTTAATAGATAATTATGTAACAACTCCATGGTAGATAAGAATTTTTGGAAAATTAAATTTATTTGCAAGTAGTAGTAACAATACCATTGCTAAATCTAATTTCTACCTCCATTTTTCAAAAGTATGCTATCAGTGCAAAAAATTGTGGCAAAGCCACATAAGGATGAATGCTCCGCTTTACATAATATTTAATTTGTATGAAAATAAGAAATTGTATATGCCAGATACAAAACTGAATTTAACAAGTAAGGAAAGGATGTTCGGGGCTGACTTTATATTACCCAAATGCAATATGCATATTTAGTACAGCTAATCGTAATGTACTAACGTTTATACAGGGTTGCCCATATTCGACGGACCCATCTGGCAACGCCATAACTTTTGACAGAGATGTCACATCGCTTAATGACATACCGCGTTTGAAGTGTCAGTCCTAGCAGATTTTTACCATGAACCAATACACGCCACGCGAAATAGTTGAAATTTACATTTAACAGAAGAAGTCAATTGTGAAAACTCAACGTGCTTTTAAAACTTAAAAAAATGTGAGAAGTGCGCCTTCTAAGAACACCATTAAGCGTTTATACGAAAAAATTTCGACTGGTAAGGCTCTTTCTAATCCGAAGAGGCGATATAAAAGTCGACCAAGGCGATCGGCGGAGAACATCCCAAAAACGCCGTTCTCAGCAGTTGGGCATGGCTCGGTCCACTTTACAACAGATTATTCGCATTGATTTGCATTTGTTCCCGTACAAAATTCAATTGACGCAAAGAATGTTGCCTGCGGACAAGCCTCGTCGATTGGAATGGGCCCAAAAGGCCCAAAGGTCCGTCGAATATGGGCAACCCTGTATTCGGAATTTATATGTAGTAAATGATGCAAAATATGATCGTTATTGATAGCGTGTTACGGCTTTAGAACGGTTTAAATTAAAAAATGGACTAACGTATAAATGTTATGTCTTAAACTTAATCGCTTTAAACCAAATTTGATGCAGATATTTTTATGTTTTCAGGCCAAAAATCATTGCAATAAAGCGCATGGTATGACCTTGAGAAGATTGAAATTTTAGTCGGCTAACACATATGGAATTTTATCTTCGAAAGACGGTAGATCACATTGCAAACTCCAAATGCCAACATGACCTTGAGAAGAGAAAATTTCGTATAAAAAATATCATCTATTTAAACTTTATATACTTGGACCTTTATGGACCGTTCCTTCCAAGAATGCTTTCCGCACGCAAACTGGCCGGACATAACCCCAATGCAATTAAGGTCCTGTTTTGTTTTGATCAGGACCCGCATAATAAAGTCCACTTCCAAAACGGATATAATCCCCATGAAGGGTATGACCGTTTGCTGTTGGGTTTATGTCCGAAAATTTTACGAACATAATCCTCAGAAGAAAACAAGGCTTTAGTTGGGTTTATTGTCTATGCTCGGATTGACCTGAAATTATGGAGGTATTTATACGCTACACCACGTAGTGGTGGTGTCTTTGTGCATGTGTTTGTTACATGGAAAAAGAATCGATATAGACTCATAGTTACTTTTGAGGATCTTCGTAGTATCACTTTCTGACACGAGTCATGCATGTCAGTTCGTCTGTCCGTGTATTTGAGATGAAAATTTCCACACAATATTTGTTTGGCCCAAGGACGAACCCTACGAACTGGTGGAAATCGGTTCAAATTTAGATATATCTCTCATTTATATCTTCAACCGATTTCGAATTAATTGTGCACTAAATGGCCAATATCAGTCTAAAAGAAATGAATTTTGGGCACGTCCGACCATATTCAGTCTAGAAGCAAATACATCAAATTTCGTGAAAATCGGTTC